CCGCCCCGGACCCTTTTTCATGTTAATTGATTGACTTGGAGGACTGGTATGGTTACAGATTTTTTGAAAACTTTCAGCCAGGGCCCAGGCAGACAAGCTTCCTTGTCATCTTCCTCTTTTGGTGGACAGCTGTTTTTCTAGCTGTTCTTCACCCGAAGATGTGCTTCTTCAAGGGTCTTGGCTTCTCAACTTTCGACTGAGAAGGTGTCTTAGTTCTCACTCCAACCTTTCATGGGCATCCGGTCTCCTAGCTCTGCATATGTTAAATCCTAGAACAGTAGCCCTCCAGGACTGCAGAACTGCTGCTTACTGCTCTGATCCCACTACCTACCCCCTCCCCAGCCTTGGGGATTTTTTTTACTTACTTTTGAGCTTGATATGCATTTAAGAGCAGTTCTAAGCCTTGGCTGATCATCAGTATTGAAACAGACCGAGAGTTGAAAGCCATTTTTTATCCTGTTCTTTTTTTTTTGAGTTGGAGTCTCACTTTGTTGCCCAGACTGGAGTGCGCAGCCTCGACCTGCTGGGCTCCGGCGATCCTTCCACCTCAGCATTCCAAGTAGTCGGAATTACAGGCATGCACTACCACGCCCGGCTGATTTTTTAATTTATTGTAGAGATGAGGTCTTGCTGCCCTGGCGGGTCTTGAACCCGCGGGGTCAGGCATTCCACTCACCTCAGCCTCCCAAAGGCGCGGGATTATAGGCTGAGCCACCGAGCCCGGCTTATCTTGTTCTTAAACCCTGCCACAATGATGAGAAAGTAGAAGCTATGCTTTTGGAGAAATGCACACTTTAGGTAAAATTAACTGCCGACTTTGTCTTTTCAGAAGCAGACTTCCTGGTGCCTGGTATCAGAGGTATCTCATAGCGACAATCAAGCTTGCCTAGAGTAAAGGGAATTTACAAGGCCTAAGACATCATGCATTGGACAAGGCTTGTAAAAGTCATGAAACTTGTAATTACAAAAGTTATGACCGCTCAGAGGGGCAGCAGGTGGGGACTCGATCTTCCAGTAAATTGGGCACTGTCTGCAGGGAAGCCCAGGATCCCCCAAGCTACCCACTGGGAATGCTTAGGAGATTAGGGGAAATGCACTCTCCATTAGCTCTAAGGAATGTCGTTTGGGAAGGTGCAGGAGAATTAGAACACCCTTCTCTAGGGGCCATGATAATGTGGGCGGTCTTTGTGTCACAGGTTCTCCAAGACATCTGCAGGTGGTTGATAAGGAGGTCATGTCTACCTGATTGCAACATCTCCAAGGAAAAGGATTTAAGCCAGGGCTCTGGGGGGCTACGAGGCCACACTCGCTTGGAGTGTGGGCTCGCTCCCTGTCTGTGGGTGGTGAAGCTTTCTTAGATAAATCTTTTCTTCTCTCACTTCTGTGGGGTTGCAATTCCTTGCATTTACTCGGATCTCTGGGTTGCCAGCGCGGCAACTCAAGTTGCACCAGTTCCAGCGGTGCTGCGCCCCTGTCCATCCATCTCACCCTCATCCTATCCATGCCCTAACAAGTATCACCTGGGAATCTTTTAGAATTTCTCATGCCCAGGTTGCATTCCAGACCTGTTCCATCAGAAACTAGGGTGGGACCCAGGCTTCAGGATGTTTCTGAATTTCCCCAGGTAATTCTATTGTGTAGCCAAGAATGGGAACCACTGATTTAAAATGATGTTGTTTATTTTATCCAACGATGTATATGTGCTGTGTGGATGTGTTTCTTTTTCTAGTGGGGGTGTTTTCAGATGATCTTGTCAGCAGTAATGGAAATAGGAACCCATCATATTGTAATTAGAAAAAACATCCTCTTAAAACAAGATGGGAAGGAAACTAGCACTGATTCAGTTCCTGCTGTGTGCTTGGGCTCTGTCCTTAGGCCTTTCATGCGTGTCATCTCATCCAGTCCTCAGAAGGGTTCTGCAAGTAGGTAGTGGTTACTGGTCTTTGCAGATAAGACAACTAGCGTGGCGAAACTGAATAACTAATCCTAGGCCACAGCTCACCGTTGGCAGAACCCGACTCAGACCCACCAGCAGTCCATGCCCTGTCCTTCCTCCTTTTGCTGTGGAGCATGTAAAATGGAGAGGTTTTTCGACACCAGTTGATTAAAGTAAAGATTGCCTAAAGATTGGCACTTGGGTTGCAGTGGGTTCCAGGGACCTGTTCAACGGGCTTATCTGGAACGCTTTGCCCTCCCACATTGCCAGGGTTGTACTCCCGATGAGGGTAAACTGACTTTGACGAGAAGATTGTTCTTTGAGAAAAGCTTCACTTACTGCAATTGTTGTGAATGGTGAGGCTGGAGTAAATAAGTGACTTCTCCTTCTCTTAAGTGTCACGTGTCGTGAAGGGGCGCTCGTTCTTCAGCTTACCTCCTCAGTTCACTCGAGGGCTGTGAGTGTGTGAGTGACTGTGTGTGTGTGTGTGTGTGTGTGTGTTGGGGACAGAGGTACCAGGGCAAGGTGGGGAGTGCGGTCCCGCCTTGCTCTCCGTGGCACCAGGTGACTTGGGGTGGGGTAGGAAATGGGGCCTGGGAACAGTCTGGTTGCTCGGCCTCGCTGAAGCCCTGTAGGGGTATAATGCGTGCTGGTGGTGGGTGCACTCTTTCCTCTCCCCGGGACGCAGCTGTGGGCGTCACTCCCATTTCTCCCCTCTCATCTTGCCTTCACTCTGGCCCTGGCTCTGCCGGGGCAAATGACTTCCAGAGTTCTTGGGGGGTTTTACCTCTGTCGGGAGCCTCATAGAATTACTTTTCTGTTGGAATGTGGGGGTGAGGCTTTTTGGGAAGTTGTGAATGACATTTGACTTCAGTGGGGGCAGAAAACAAACTCCTCTAAGTCTCTGTCTTTGTCATCAGCAGCTCTTCAGCTGGGCCTTCTGCTTGTGTGTGGCACCCTCAGAAGACCAGCAGGATGGCTGCCAGCAAGAGTAAAGGCCAGAGCTCCTTGGTCCTTCACAAAGTGATCATGGTTGGCAGTGGCGGGGTTGGCAAGTCGGCCCTAACGCTCCAGTTCATGTACGATGAGGTAAGACCGTCAGCAAGCTGCCTCCTGCCGTCGGCCACAGCAGTGTCCCCCCCCCAAACGTGCGTCACTTATTTGATGTGGGCTGAGTCCAGTGTGACAACACAACCTTGATTCCTGCAGCAACAAAGGCTCCTGCTTGATGGCCTTTGCTGGTCCGGTCAGCTCTCTGTCTTCACGAGTTCTGTACCTGCAGATTCAAGCAACCATGGATTGAGAATACTGGGAAAAAACTCCAATGAAAAGTAACAGCACAGCAACAAAAGATACAATTAAAAATGCACTGTGACAACTGTTTGCATAGCACTTACATTGTATTAGGTATTATAAGTAATCTAGAGATCATCTGAAGTATACAGGAGCATGTTATCTGCAAATACTATGATATTTTATGTAAGAGACTTGAGCATCTGTGGATTTTGGGGGTCCTGGAATCAGTTTCCAAAGGATATCAAGGTGAGACTGCAGTACAGGTAGGGAGAGCATTCGGAGCAGAGCATAAGCCTCAGGGCCTCCCACTGGTATTGCAGCCACACGGCTTCATAAAATTTGCGAAAGAAAGGTATCGTCACCACAGTTGGTTAAGATCACTATCTCTTTTCACTAGACTTTCCCTCTGTGCTGCTTCCTCTTAGGTTGGGTGCAGTTGGAGTGACTGTCGGCATTTTCAGTAGCTAGCTGAGGGAAGCTGAACTGGGTGGGGTGAGCTGGGGAATAGTGGTAGATATTTCCGGGGTCTGGAGTCTTGTTAGCATGTGGTTAAGTTGTTGCTTGCTGTAGGAATACTGCCGCCCACTGTGCTGACTCAGCAGCGTCGTGATGTGAGGGGCTGGGCCTGGGCGGGATCCTAATAGGAGGGTGTCCTGTGGCACCTGGCCCTGAAAGCGTGTGGGTCGTGGAGGAGAAACAAGGGCCGAAACATGTGGAGCTAGAAATTAGTCTGGAAAGTTCTTTCGGACTTTACATCTTACAGTGAAACTCAATAGAAATCTCCTAAATTTGAAAGTAGTCCAAAAACTTTCAGTACTAGCAATGTCATGTAATTGTGAAGCTGAAAAAAAACCTTTTCTGAACTTTCAATATAAGAGAAACTTTCATTAACCATGCTAGAGGAAAGACTAAATTATTTTTTGTTCTCTATAGGAAATATTTCAAAATCATTGGCATATGGCAAGAGAAAGAGTTTACAGCAGACAAAAAAGTAGAAGGTATTCTAGAGGTATGTCAGGCAGTTTGATTAATAAAAATATTCTGTTACTTTGCTGGATTTTGTGATGTCAGTGCTGTTTATATTAGTTTTTTATTGCTGTGCAACGAATAATCACACACTTAGCAGGTTGAAACGACATGCATTTATTATCTCATAGTTTCCACGGGTCAGGGATCGGAGCGTGGCTTAGCTGGGGGCTCGCTCAAGGTCCCATGAGGCTCCAGTCAAGGTGGCGGCTGGGGCTGTGACCTCGTCTGAGGCTCAGGGTCCTGATTGTTGGAGAATTCAGGTCCTTGTGGATGTAGGACAAGGGCCTTCAGCTTCCACAGTCACCCGCAGGCCCATGCCCCCTCTGTAGGCGGCCATTCATGTCACGGTAGCTGCTTCTCCTAGGCCAGCAGGAGAGTCTCCCATCAGCTGAGACAGTTTCAAAGAATGACACTCAGTCATGGGGTAATCCCCTCACCTGGCCTCACTGGGGGGCATCACCTGGGGGTGTGTTTGCCACACTGTTTTTCTGTCTTTAAAACTTTATAATGGGCCGGGCTTGGTGGCTCAGCCTGTAATCCTGCGCCTTGGGAGGCCGAGGTGAGTGGATTGCCTGAGCCCGCGGGGTCGAGACCCGCTTGGGCAACTTGGTGAGACCTCATCTCTACAATAAAAATCAAAAAAATTAGCTGGGCCTGGTAGCGCACCTGTAGTTCCAGCTACTTGGAAGGCTGAGGGGGAAGGATCGCCAGAGCCCAGCAGGTTGAGGCTGCGTGAACCAGGAGCAGCCACTGCACTCCAGTCTGGGCGATGGAGTGAGACTCCAACTCAAAAAAAAAAAGAAAACAAAAACAACTTTATAATGGATTATGATTTCTTTTCTCATTCTAGATCATCACTTTTGTTTCCAGTATTATATATGTAATTTTGTGTTCTTTTCTTAAAGCGGGGCCCCCAAAATGAATAAGCTTCAGACCAAAACCTGGATCTCCTGGGTCTTACTCCCCTTTGTCTTATTATGAAAAACTTCTGTGTTTGATGCCTACTTTTCTTTATCTTTTAGTAGAGGCCAGAATGGGTAAATCTAATATCTCCTGAATTTGCCCAAAACATTTTTTGCATAAAAGGAGAGGCAAGTTGCAAAGTTGGCTTTGGAGGTCTTGCTTGTTTTTGCTCAAAAACTTGTAATTTGCTCACTGAGTGTTCCTTATTTTTATTATTATTTTTGTCTGTAACAGAGTGGGGAAAGAGAATGGGCATGGGAATTAGGATGGGTGAGATAGGGTTAGAGGAGTAGTTGCCACAGAGGTGAGGGAGGGAGGGGAATTTTTGTCCCCCTACAGAATATTTGTCAACACCTGGAGACATTTTTGGTTGTCCCAGGTGAGGGAAGGGCACTGCTAGCATCTAATGAGTAGAGGCCAAGGATGCTGTTTGATGTCCTGTGATGCACCGGACAGGCCCCCCCCAAGAATTAGCCCATCTAAAATATCAGCAATGCTGCTGTTGAGAAACCCCGTGTTAGAGACAGTGTGTGGCAGATGAGAGGAGGGAGGGTTTCCCTATGGTGCAGGTTACCGAGAGGCCCCAGGATGCCAAGTGCAAGAGCAAGTTCATGTACAGAGCCCAACTCTACTTTGGGACTAGGATTTGTTCTGCTCAGCACTGTTGCTGACACCATAGGAGACTGGGAGAGCCCAGTCTGGGTGCTTCGTTTTTATTATGTGTGTGTGGGAGTGGCACGAACTCGAACAGCGGAAGAAGGTGCATGCAGAAGAGTCGATTTCTTCATGAAAGCGATACTTGACCTTAGTCTAGTTTTCTCATGGCCTAACATATTTGAGGACTGAAAAGCAGAAGTCGTTGAATAAATCTTAAAATAAATTGAGCACAAGAAAGGAACAGAGATGAAGTGGTGTGTGTTTGGGGGAGGAGTCTTCAACTGATTTCCGAAAACAGTGCCATCTAATAGAACCTTCGGCAATGGTGAACTTGTTCTGTATCTATCCTATGTCCATTGCCTTTGGCCATTGTACACCTGAAGTGTGGCTAGTGGCTGTTGAGGTGGACGGGATAGTTATGGAAGTGCAATGTGCTTAATAACTTGTGGTTTGCTTGCTAAAAGTTTCTTATTTTTCTTCCATAACAGAGACTGGGGAAAAGAGGATGAGGAGGACAGTTAGGGTTAGGGAGCTAGGGTTAGCGATTCATGTCGCTGTCACTTCTCCGCCTTTTGGCTAAGATCGGGTGAGATTCGTGTGGCTGTTGTACACTTGAAATGTTGCTGGTGGCTACTCTATTGGACGGGATGGCTCTAGAATCGAAATTTTGGAGCTCAAAGAGACGTTAACAGTGATTCCCAGATGGGGTTGACGATGGAGCCCTTTAGGGCCCTTTCTGAAAAATACCTCGTCTTCCCTGTTCGTCACTTTATTTTGTTTTTAAACGTTTGAAACTTATTCTCAGCAATTTTGAGCTACACATTACTCGTAACTGTGACCATCTTGCTATGCAGTAGCCCTCAAAAGCTGTTCCCCTTGCCCATCTGAACTTTGTGACTTTGGCCAACGTCTCATGCCCTCTCCTCTCCCTGCCCCCGGGTCACCACCATTCCTCTCTCTACTGCTGCCGCTGCTTTTTTATTTTAAAGATGTGGGGGACAATTCAGGATCAGGTATACAAGTGGACATCCTAAAAAAATACCATCTAAGCAACACCGTGGGGTTGAGAACTGGACCCGACTTTTAAGAGAGTCTCCTGGTGATTCTGACATGCTGATCTGGTAATTCCTGCCTGGAGGATGATCTAGTAAGCGTGATTCACAGAAAAGGAAACAGTTTTGTACTAAAGGGTGCCACTGGTCTAAGGTCTCCTGGACCATTCAGATTCTTTGTCTGTAGTCCAGTGTTCTACCCTTAGGTTAAACGTTTTTTAGCTTATATGGTAGAATTTTCATGAAAATGGATCATGGAAGGAGCCACTGTCCCAGAAGTCTTTCTTTTTGTCTAAGTCCTGATTTTGAGAAAAATTGGAGGGAATTGCCAGGGTGGTGGCAATAGGGGATTTGGACTTTTGTTTTTTGAGTTGGAGTCTCACTATGTCGCCCAGGCTGGAGTGCAGTGGCACACTCACAGTCACCCTAGCCTCAACCGGCTGGGCTCTGGCGATCCTTCTGCCTCAGCCTTTCAAGTAACTGGAACTACAGGCGCGCACCACCACAACTGGCTAGTCTTCTTTTTTATTTATTGTAGAGGTGAGATTTCACCAAGTTGCCCAGGCTGTTCTCGAACCCATGAGCTCAGGTAGTCGTCCCTCCTTGGCCTCCCAAAGTGCTGGGATTACAGACTTGAGCCACCGTGCCCGGCCCCTGGATTTTAATCTTTTAATGCTTGTCCTGATGCTTGAAGGCTTTCAGGTTTCTGCCTTTTCTGGGAAAGTGGGGTTGGGGTTGGGGTGGCTTTGGCACCAGCCATTTCAGATTTTCAGTCTCTGGCAAAGTCAGCGTAGACGTGGCTCAGTAATTAACAAGAGGACTGCGTGAAGTTGGTTTTAGACTCGGGTGTCTTGGGCATCTGAAACAAAATCACATGGAGCCCTGCAAGGCCAGTAGGGGATAAGTATGGTTCATGTCAGTGGATACACACACTTTGGTGATTTTCTATTTGTAGCTGATAAATTAAACAGCAGGGTCATAATGGAATGTTCTTGTGACCGGAATGCTTTTCACTGAGTGAAGAGGTGTGCAGGTGTAGCAGGACATTCTGACTTCTAGGGCTAAAGAAATCAGAGGAACTCTGACTGGTTTTCCCTTGGAAGCTCAAATATATAGTTGAGGTGCTTTGTGGTAGAGTTCAGAGATTTTCAGGGTGTGGTGGTGTTTTGGGTGTTTTTTTTTGGTCATTTATTTGTCTCTTTGGAACAGAATTATTAGGAAGACACTTGGTAAGCATAGGTAAGTTCCTACATTTCCTCTATTTGAAGATAACTTGTTAATACACATTTAAGAGAACGCAGTACTAAGCATATCTTAGTATTTTTAAAAATTTTAAATCATTTGAGCTAGCACCTATTAATTGACAGTGTAAAGTTCTTTTTAATCGTTTTTCTCAGAGAAACTTTCATTTTTATGTTTTCTTTTTTTTTTTGAGTTGGAGTCTCGTTCTCTCGCCCAGACTGGACTGCAGTGGCCGTTCCCGGCCACCCCAGCCTCAACTGCTGGGCTCTGGTGATCCTTCCGCCTCAGCCTTCCAAATAGCTGGAATTACAGATGTGTGCTACCACACCTGGCTAATTTTTTTTTTTTGTAGAGATGAGGTCTCACCAAGTTGCTCAGGTGGTTCTCGAACCCTCAGGCTCAGGCAGTCCACTCACCTCGGCCTCCCAAGGCGCAGGATTACAGGCTGAGCCACCGAGCCTGGCTATTTTTATATTTTCAATTTCATTTTAAAATTAAAAAGAAATATAGGCTGGGTGACTCACGCCTGTAATCCCAGAGTTTTGGGAGGCTGAGTTGCTTGTATTACAGGCATGAGCCACCATGCCCTGCCGAAATTCACTCTTTTAAAGTGTGTTACTTAGCCGGGCTTGGTGGCTCAGCCTGTCATCCCGCGCCTTTGGGAGGCCAAGGTGAGTAGATTGCCTGAGCCCGCGGGTTCGAGACCCGCCTGGGCA